CTTTGATGGTCTTATAGTGTATGATTTTTTTCTAATACTCTTCTAAAGCCATTCAAGTTAATGGCCATCATTACATCTTGCGAGAGTGAATTCAATAGTTTAACTGTCTGCTGCTTGAAGAAGGATTTTCTTCTGTCTGTCCTGATTCTTCCAACATTTGGCTGCATTGGATGGTCACAGCTTCTAGTATTATGAGAGAGGGAGAAAAGCATCTCTCTATCCAGTTTCTCCACTCTTATCTGCTATGCCTCTATCATGCCCATACTTTTCATACTTGTTGGAATTGTCTGCGTTGGTGCCTTCAGTATTTTACCTTTAAGAAACTCCCATCCAACTTGGGACTCCCTTTTTATTCAGGTATTCCTGACTATGGGATTTCACCCACTAGTTCCTTAAAAAGTGAAAACTTATTATGCCAATAAAGTCTGAATGAATTCATGAATGAATAAATGAAAACTTATTAAGATCCTCACCTATTGACACAATCTTCAACATGGCTACTCAAAATTAACTTGTGTTGAGTTCATAACCCATTACACACTTATCTGGAAATAAGTCACACTGAGTTCAAAAGGACTTCTTTCTGAATAGAAATGTATAGGATTGTGCTGCAAGTCATACTTATTTCTTTTAGACTGTAAGCCGTAAGTCTTGCGAGCAGTTACACAAGAATGAAACTTTAAAATAGTTCATTAAAATAGTCCTGGATTTAAAATATATTTTCCTGTTTCCTGTTTTGCTTATTTTACTGTGTATTTTTTTTCTTTCACTTTGTTTAAGATTAGGCAGAGAGAACGGATTTCTTTAGGTAATACTAATCTCTAATGCCTTTTGTGAAGCAGGCTCCAAATACACAAGGCATCCTAAGAAGCCTTTCTAAACTCTGCCATGCGATATTAAGGCTATTGAAGGGCACTAATGTGTTTGTGTGGAGTTTTTTTTAAAAAAGGGGCTGGGAGATGAAGAAGCGGTGAAAGTTAAGCTACAATACTTTTTTAATGTCATGTGTATTGTTTTAACAACTACAAATAGCAGGCACTGAGGGGCTGAGAACTGCAGCAGATTAAGGGGGTAACGCTTTTTTAAAACTTTGGAAAACTATAAAAATGTATTTGTTTTGTTGGGAATTTTCTGACAGGTAATTTTTAGACTGCACTGCTCAATGTTTTGTTTTAGTATATTGATACTAGATTTTTATTGACAGCATGTCTTTCAACTTTGTGCATTTGTGCATTGTGGATATTATGCTTTTTTACTTTGATGCTTATTTTTTAAAATCCTTAGACATTTACAATATATAAATTGATTAAATAATTAATTAAAAACAAATATTTCCCTCTGCCACAGACCTGATGAAGATTGTCCCTCCAAAGCTGCTATTTGCATCAGGAGGAGGAACTCCCAGTGTAAGACTGAACGGAAAAGAGGTTGGCTGGGAGATTATAAAAATGGATAAGGGAGATTATGGAGCTAGTTAGAGTGGTAGATGTTATTGGGAAGGGAAAGGAATGAACTATTAAAAGCAAGTGGTGGATGCAAGTCAATTCTGGAGGAATGATATGAAGAAAGGACAGGACAGAGACAGAAGAGGTGGGTGGAGGGAAAGGAATAAATGTAAAATAAATACTATCCTTTCTCTTAATTACAAAGCTAAGAATCTGAAGCTGGGATCCCCTCATGCAAAATAAAGGTCATTTGCTCATCGCACAAATATTTGCTTTAATAAAATAAAAAGGACTGATGCATGTTCACTTGGAAGACTGCACTAATAAGTGATCAGTTTCATATATTAACAAATCATTGGAGATACAACACTTCTGCATTTACTCTCACATTGCCCAATGTCACCTCAAATGCAATGCTTTTCAATGAAAGCACCACACATTCATCAGTGAGTCATCAAGCTCTGAATCATCACAACATGAGAAATAAAAAAGGATGTGAACCAATACTATGGATTGTTTGCATTTGCTTTTACCTAATTTGAATGTGTTTTGGAATGTCCTAGTTCTTCCAAAATGGATTTGAACCTCACGGGGCAGAGTACAATATTAGGAATGGATGCTTCTGCTCGAAAGGATAGTGAAAAAGTGGTTGTGATCATGAAAAGCAATAATTCATATAAATAAGTGGAAAATAACAGTAAATAGAGCCCAGGTTAGAGCAAGAGAACACTGCTTTTTCCAATAAAATGGATAACTATCTTCATAAACACAGACAGAAATTTATCTTAAAAGTTTATAAAGAAATCATAGAATCTTAGAGTTGGAAGGGACCATATGTGGTTTGTGGTTGCCAGACCCCTTTAATTCCACGATCAAGCAAGTCTTAAAATATAAACTAAGCTAGTTTACTCATGAGGTGATTTCCTGGTGGATGAACCATTATGAGAAACAAAGGAAAGGAGCTCTGAGGGAGACGGCAAATGTGTGGGGTCCGTCTCCTAGCCCCAGCCCACAGTTAGATGGAAGGACAAAAGCTGGAGTTTAGAGCTGAGTTTTCAGGGATGTGACCTAGAAGTAAAGCAGGAGAGAGCACAATGTTTGATTTCCATTTGAATCTAAGGCTGTGGCTATGGGACAAACAAGAGCTTTGTTGGGTGTTAATGCTGTGAACAACTCCAACGTAGGCTTAGGTTGTATATATGTGTAAATAAAGCAACTATCTTAAATGTCTCTGCTGTGCCTCGTTTCCAGAAGGAAACATTAACTCTGGGCAAGTGCCTTGAACCCCTGGAATCTTGCACTGCTCAGAGATTGGGGAGGCGTGCAGCAATATTATTAACCAATGAGATCAACATTTTCTTGCATGTTTTGGAACATGACATGTGGCACAAAGACAAAACCTTGACACTGCAAGACAAGAAAGATACTCAAGAATATTTTCCCACAAATCTGAAACTAACACTTCAATCATGTTTGTGCAAACTTCTGGAAACAGAATAGCATGCCCTAGCATGAGGGATGAGATACAAATACATCATCAGAGTTCCTAAGCACGTCAAACTAGGATGTTCTAGTTACCTGAGCATATTAATGTTCTGCTGCTAAATATGCGGTAACTGACAATTGTGAGCTTTTGGGATTCATAGGTAGGGGTTGTTTAGGAAAAACCCTCAAACTCTGCTTTTTCAAAAGTGGTCAAAAAGACATTTTCTCTCCCCCCTTCCCTGTGATTTTCTGGCCTGTACGTCACTGTTTTGGGAGGGCATTCTGTACTCTTTCTTTCTTTCTTTCTTTCTTTCCCTTTTTCTTGAGTGTGAGGAATTGAGAAGGTGAGAAGAAAGACAAAAGTGAGGAGGAATGAAAAGTTCACAACTGGGTGTGGATGTGCTTGCCATTCTGCCTCCTCCAACTTAATGCAAGAGCTGTTCTCTAGGATGTCCTTTTTTGACAATCATAATAAAAAGGTAGTTGAAAACATACAAAGGATGGCCCTGCCTGCTTTATTTCTAGGGTGCACGTGAGACATTATCAATCACAGCAAATGCTTTCAGCCTATTGTTTGTGCAATTCATCATTAAAAACATGTACTGTGGCCAGCCTTTGATAGAAACAAATGCATTCTTAACCAGGTTGCCTTATTTCTGGTTTGTGTGATCTGCTACCTACCGTGTGCACCTGGCCCACTTTCAGCCACATAGGTGACTTGCATGTGTGTGACCTGAAAAAGAGGTGAATAAAAGTCTTGCTTGCCTATGTGCCCTGGCCTGCCATCACCAATTCAACGGGTCAGTGGAAACAAGACTTCACATCTTCCCAAAGCAAGCCGGACAGACTAGGGCTTTGGAGGGGCAGCATGGAAGATAAAAGGCAACTCACTCGCTTTGCTGTCACTACCGCTCAATGAATAGGAGGCTTTACTGTCACCTATAAATGGCCCTGGATCGAAGTCACTTTTTCCACATGAGGCAGCAAAGTTCGAGCACAGCCCCTGCAAGTTCCTGCTGCTATTTTCTGGGACTGCGCTGGCCCCTCAGCTATGTGCCTAGGCATGGCAAGCCTCCTTCCATGCCAAATGCCCACCAGTCCATCCTGGGAGCTTGGTACCAAAAAATGTACGTCCCACTAAGCTCCCCTGAACTTTGCACGGGAGAGGCACACAGAGCCACTCACTGTGACTCTTTTACTTCCCTTGTTTTATGAATAGAGGTGACTTCCAGGGCACATACCTCTGTCTTTGTTAATTTCATGCCACACTAAAGTGGGAACTGAGCAAATGCAGATGCAGTCTCCTTCCAATACACACTCTGCTCCCTAGAAGACGTTTTCCTGGCAATTGACCGAGTCCAATATCAGCAACACACCTGCCTCATTAAAAGCCTCACTTTCCGGCTCATACAGATTTGCATTCCTCTCCAGTGTTTCCCTGGTGCACAACCCGCAATTTAACGCGTAGGCTGGATGGATGCAAGTGGCATTAGAAAGGATAAGAGCAGCGGGGGATAATGTGAGCTCCTCATGTGAAAGAGGCTATCTAGGACCCTCTGTCCCCTTTTCAGAGAAAACTCTGCCTCTTTTGCTGAATTTTTTGCCTGTCTATAGATGACATTTGGAGGCAGCTGTCCCCCTTCGAGGGCTTTTAATAATACAGAGATTGTCAACCCCTGCGTTGCTAGACCTTGGAGGGTTGGGGTTTGCTCTAAACTTCTTGGAAAGATAATAATTTGAAGGAGAGCGCATTCTGCTGACTCGGGACAAGGCGTTCGCCTAGAAAACCTTGACTCTTCTCCCTGTTTCTCCCATCCCTCCCACTGTTCTTCCCTTTCCCCTGCTTTTCCTCTCGCTATTCCATCGCTGCTTTCAAACAGTCGAGAGATACAAATCACGACGATTCCCTCCCCTCACCCCCGCTCCCCACAATTCACGTGCAATAAGGAACTAAAAGGGAATACTAAAGAAGGAAGGAAGCCAGGAGGGAAGATAGCAGCGCAAAATGCAATCGATCGATCGAGGAAAGGTACTCACATGACTGTGGAGCGAGCGGCTTTACACGGACTCTCAGAAAGCTGAAGGTCTCCTCTCGGCCCGTTTTTGTTTGTAGCTCGTCCTCTGCGCAGCTCCCGCAGCAAAGCGATCAAAAGCTGCAACACCGATCGCTTTGCAAAAGGGAACAAACACGGGAGGGTTTGTATTACTCCAGATTCTTGTATGTAGCCTATAAATAGCGAACTTTTAGATGGAAGCAGCTAACAAATGAGAAGAGAAGGCGTAATTTTGCACGGAGACACCCCCCCACCCTGCTTTCCGGGGCAGTTGCTGGAGCTGAAAGTTGTGGGTGTATTACAGCGAAGGAACTGGGCTTGATCGTGATTATGAATGTAGAATGTGTGGGGTTTTTTGTTTTGCTAAGCTAGTGGCATTCTGCCTCCCCTTGTTGACTACTGGTGCCTGGCAAAAATGTATCCGAATATTGCCGATATATTTAGAATAATAATGGAGATGGGGGATTTGTATAAAGGGGAGCCCTATAAAGCATTAGCTTTCTCGTAGGTTGAACTTGAAATTTTGAAAGCCTGTGTTCCTTATATCTGTCATGAACCCACTGAGTGACCTTGAGCAAATCACCCTCTTTGAATCAGTCTTCCATCTGTGAAATGGGATTCACATGGCTATCTCACACGGCTGTTGAGAACACAGCAGGAGTATAGAAGTACTAATAATTGGTGAACTCACCCGCAGCTTATTTGGGATAGGAGTAGGAGAGAAGAGATGCTACTGTACAGATGACCAATATCTTCTCACTAAGTAAACTTTGGGACCACACAAGCGTAGCGTTTGTCTATTCAGCCTAGAGCCACCATTGTTATTGGGCACTATTTGGTGGAATTGCCCCTAACGTCTTCTAAGGATGGGACTTCTACTATCTTTCTTCTCCTTCATTTACGTTAATAGATTCTGAAGTATTGGCGTTTTCGCGGGGGGGGGACTCCCCCCTCATCAAGGCGGCCCGTGGCTCACCTCTGGGGGCCATTGATTTCCGAGAGCTGGAGGGACTGGCTCCCTGTCAGCGGCGGAGCTGCCGCTGCTAAGGATCCTGAGCCCTGCAGCTCCGAGAGGGGTTTCCTCCCCGTGACAGGTAGCTGTCAGAGCTGCCCGGGTAGGAAGTGCTGACCTGTCTAAAGAAATGCATCTGCGTCTCTGAGAATTTTCCGGACAGATGTTGCCAGTTCACTCCGCGGAGGCTTCCATCAATTTGCGCACACTGAGTGGAGTTGATGACTGTTTGGGTTTGGCAGCGGCGGGGAGTTGTGTGTGTGCGTGGATGTGTGTGTGATGCCATCAGACATCCTGTGACACCGACTCTCTGGGAAATGTCCGCTCCTATACAACAGGGCTTCTCAAGCTCCCTCGCAGCCAAGCTGTGCCCCACAAAAACTAACGCTGGAAAGTCATGGGGAAAGATGACTTTGAGTTCGTTCCCCTTTGGGCTTTTCTCAGCTTAGCTCCTTTTAAAATCATACTTTTTATCTTTCTTTTCTTCCTGCTTCTTCCAGACTTTCTTTCTTTTCTTTCTTTCTTTCTTTCTTTCTTTCTTTCTTTCTTTCTTTCTTTCTTTCTGAAGTTTGTTTTATCTTTTCCTGTTATGTGTCTTCCTCTCTTTTTGTCTTCTCCCTTTCCAGATTTTCTCTTTTGCTTCTCAATTTTCTCTTGCTTTTAATTACTGACCTAGCTTATTTCACAGCTCCCAAGGAAAAGCATGCAAAATCACTGAGGTTTTAAGGTACATCAGTGAACATGTTACTCATTTTAGGTCAAAGGCACAATTCATTATTTGAAAACTATGGTTCTTGTATTCAAGCCGCCAACCAATGAACCTGGTTTCAAAGCAGGTGGCAAGAAACTGTGGATTAAATATAGTAAATCCATATGGGTATTGTTATTTTTTCAAAGAGACAGAAAGATGCTTACTTTGACATTAGCAACTTGGATTCCATTCAGGATTCTTAAATGATTCAAGGTCATGGTCCTGTGCACAGTTACAGGTAAGTAACTACGTAGGGCTGTGACTTTAAAGTAGTTTAAAATATGAAACATGACTCCCACCCAATTGTCAAGACTTGGAGAGAACATACACCCAGGAAATGTGGTCGTGTGCCCTCATGCACATGTGTGTATGCAACATCAAAGAAGAATATGTATGGGCATATTTAGGGTTTGCAAACCCCTTGACCCAAAATAAACATGCATTTTTATACATTTAAAAACCTGACCAGACATAACTTCTATCATTATTAAGATGAGCATTTGATGATTTATAAGCAGGAGGAACTTTAAAAGAGGGATTTTGTAAAATGTCCAGTTGCTTTTTTTCATATATATCCTCCTTCATTTTCTCTCTCAGACAGAGAGATTTGGGGGCATGACACTGATCACTGAATAATCCAGTTTGTATGGAACTTGTTAAATAGGATAAATAGGACATTCATCTAATTAATAAACGCTACAGTGACTCACACTGATTTACACAGGATTTAGTACACATTTTTGCATCCTTGAGAATGTGTTTTGTGCCAACAGAGGGAAAGCCGGCCTTCTTCTTTAGTAAACTTTTTGTTGGCCTGTAATCTGAATCTATCTATAGGACCAAGGTCAAGTAACTACTAAAACAAAACCCCCTCTTGTGTTATGAGGAAAACTGCAACTGTAACACCTCTTCCCATTTGGGAGAAGTGGGAGAAGAATTCCTGTTTTCTCTCTGTGAACCAAAAGACAGAGTAACACACAGCAGTCTCCACATTAGAACAATTCACCTTTTACTTATCTCTTATTTATTACATAAATAACTTAGCCTCTTTAGAACTTACTACCTTGTGTTCATTCACTAAATAAGAATATACCCAACTTTAATGCTGCTTCTCCACCCACTACTTACCATTTGCAAGATCTGTATTAAATGTTTATAAGACCATACTGCACCTAACAGGACTTGGTTCATTTTGATTGACAGCAGGTTGGTCTTGTGGGCTGCTAATCCTTGTATAGCTTAGCTTTGTAGCCCGCCCGCCCGCCCCATGCTCTTTTCCAAGTCAAGCCTAAGGAAACCTAAAAACTGATGCTTTAATACTCCAAAACTGTGTGTGGGGCCAGTGTTTAGCTTGCAATAATTATGCAGAATTTAAATTTATTCTGCATGCAGAATCCAAATTAAAACACCTCACTTGCAAATATTTTGTGATGCGATTTTAGCACACAAATGAAAGTTTAAAAGTTTTGATGCAGGCTTGTGCTAATGTTATTCTTGATAAAAGCTGGAAAATAGAGAACACAGATTGTTAACTGGAAATGGATTATTATTTGGGTGTGATAAAAATGAAGGAAATGGGCAATAACTCTGGTAGAGCACATGTTTTTGCATGCAGAAGGTCCCAAGAGCATCTCTAGCAAGAAGGACACGTAATGGGGGTGGGGGGACCTCAGACTCTGGAGACCTCCTGCCAGTCAGAGTAAATAATAATGGCTAGATGGACTAATGGCACGGGGAACCTGCAGCCATCCAGATGTTGTTAAACTACATCTTCCATCATTCCTGATCACTGCCCATGATAGCTAGGGTTGATGGAAGTTGGAAATCGGCAATATCTGGAAGACTATGACATGTGTCCATAAGATAGGCTGGGGATGGCTGGAGTGTTAGGCAAAGAGGAGGTGTGGAAGGGTTAAAGTAGATAATTGCAAGAAAAAGTAGTTTAAGAAAGGGAGAAGGAAATAAGGATAGGATGGAGGAAAGACTAATGTGGGGACATTGATAGAACTGGGAATAAATTTGAGGGAACTCAGGCAGGTGTGTTATGAGGAATAAATGCAGGTTGTCCTGCCCTATGTCTGTTGAATCTGGGATTTTTTCACCTAGAATCTCTTTTATTGAAAATTAAAGGATGAATGCCCATCGACCTAACTACCTTTATCAAGAACTATGGGCAAAGTTTAATCACATTGGCCATCACAGTTTGAAATAGCGGCATGCGTTTGTGAACAAGCCATGACAGATTTTTTTTTATATATCACCTGATCTCGCCTCAAACACTACTTTCAACAGAGGCAGTTGTGTAAAATTTCACTCATTCTACACAAGGTTAATACAAAATAAAACTGAAATCTAACTAAAAATACTTAGAAACACAGAGCTCACAGAGCTGTTCATGTGGGATGAAAATTTGTATATGACATAATGAATACCCCCCACACACATTACCTGCCAGTTCTCAAAGCATGCTTGGCTATTTCTTCCAAGGAATGAATTTTCCATTTTTTTCCATACACAGATCCATAGATCCATCCGGAACCCCTAGTAATATGGATTTACATAAAAGAGGTGCAGCCTGCTGTTATCACTAGACATAATGGCCAAACATATTGTGATGCACTTAGGGTGACTTGAATCCAGTGAGATCTTCTGCATTGTACTATATGGGGATCTTCTGTCATGCAGAAAGGGACGGATTATACTAGAATATGAAATAATCAAACTGGTTTATTCTCTGAAACCAGAATCAGAAATCTATACTTTTCAAAAGTAACTGTATTGCAGAGGCAAAACTTTTCACAAGTCATCAAACTTCCAGGCTCTTTCTCACACAAATTTGAACTAACACCTCCGTCAGCTCTAGGCAAATGAAGGGCAAAAGTTCTGAAACTGGACATTGCAACCCAGTACTGAAGTGTAACTGAAGTGCAAACAGCTCCTGTCCTCAGATCCAACTGAGACTGTTTTGTTATGACTTATTTTCTGAGTTTATTAACTTTTTACAGTCAAAGAGCAATTAAAGATTGCAGGCACCCAAATATCATGAGGGTACTATTAGATTTTGCTTTTTCAAATGTGATATGAATAATATTCTTTCTTTCTATCCACCCATAAAGTATCCTATCTCTGTGCTACTATGTATTTCTTTTTACCTTTCACTCAAAAATGGAGGCATAAAAAGATGCAGGGGGATGTTAACACAGGGTGGAAAGATGAGAAACTTAATTGCATGAATCTTTGCTTCAAGTGGATTTTTTAAAGCTTCTAATACTTCCTCAAGATAGTTAAAGACATTGTTTTCAAAGTGTGCTGTTTAAACAAACTTGATGAAAAGGAAGTTGAAAATAAGTTACAGAGATGGACCAACCTGCTTTATTTATGGGGAACATGTGAGACATTATTTAAACCTGGAGGGGGACCCTTTTATAGACAATCCTTTGATAGAAACGATTGTCATTTTCACTAGATTCCCTTATTTTTGGTTTGTGTGATCTGCTACCTGCCATGTATGCCTGGCCCACTTTCAGCCCCACAGGTGCCTTGCATTGTGTGCATAACTGTGTGTGACCTGAAATGCAGGTGAATAAAAGTCTCACCTGCCTACCTGCCCTAGCCTGCCAAGGTCAATTCAACGGGTCAGCGGAAACAAGGCTTCACGTCTTCCCCGACCGAGCGAGGACAGACTAGAGCTTTGAAGGGGCAGCGTTGAGGCTAAAAGGCAGCTCACTCGCTTTGCTGTCACTGCCGCTCATTGAAAAGGAGGTTTTACTGTCGCCTATAAATGGCCCTGGATCGAAGTCACTTTTTCCACATGAGGCAGCAAAGTTCGAGCACAGTCCCTGCAAGTTCTTGCTGCTATTTTCTGGGACTGCGCTGGCCCCTCAGCTATGTGCCTAGGCATGGCAAGCCTCCTTCCATGCCAAATGCCCACCAGTCCATCATGGGAGCTTGGTACCAAGCAATGCGAATCCCACCTCTCCCACCCCTCTGCCTGAACTTTACACGGAGACGGAACGAAACACACACAGCCACTCACTGGGGCTCTTTCGCTTTCCTACTCCTGCCCTTCTTCCTTTATGAATAGAGGTGACTTCCAGGGCACGATGCCTCTGCCTTTGTTAATTTCATGCCACGCTAAACTGGGATCAGAGCCCAGGTCCCGCAGATCTCAATTCTGCTGCACACCCTGCTCTCCAGAAGGGTTTTTCTGTCCCTGGCAATCGATTATACCCCTTTTAAGCAACACACCTGCCTCGGTAAAAGCCCATTTTCCTGCTCAGATTTACATTCCTCTCCAGTCCTCCCTGTCCCACCTGCACGAAACCTGCAATTTAACGCGTAGGCTATATGCAATTGGGGGGGGGGGTACTTCATTGTGACGGAGGGGGATGCTTGGGAATGCTTGAAAAGCAGAGAAAGCTTATACATTTGGGAGGATACAAGGCAGCGCATGGGTACTGGCTAAGGTTCTTTTCGCACTCTTCTACAGGCTCCCTGGGGCCCTCTTTCCTCGTCTTCTGAAAGAGTGAACTTAAGCCTCCTTTGCAGAATTTGCAGCCTGTTTCTTTATCATATAAGGCGGCAGCTGCCCAGTGCCCACCAGTCATTTTTTGCTTGCGAAGTATCAGTGATCCCTGTAATCCTTGGGCTTTGGTTCTCATACGGATCTTATCCGTCCGATATTGCCCAATTTTAGGGGGAATGTCTAACTGCCACTATCAGGAGAATTGGAACGAAGCGACACATGGTCATTTTGCTGCCCGTTCTCAGCTGATTTAGACTCAGGAGACAAGGTAGTCACTTAGCAAACCTTTCTCTCTCTCTCCGTGGTGCCTTCCGTCACCCACTTTTCATTTACTATACCACCCCTCCTCCCCTTTCATAATTGCTTTCCGCTCACCAAGAATACAAACCTTACACATTTTTGCGGGGCGGGGGTCATAGGGAGGTACTCACATGGCTGTGCGGCGAGCAGTTTACACGGACTCTCTGCAGCTTGGAGGTCTGCTCTCAGCCCGCTTTGATTGTAGCTCGTCCTCTGCGCAGCTCTCGAAGCAAAGCGATCAAAAGCTGCAACACCGGTCACTTTGCAAAAGGGAACAAACACAGGAGGGTTTGTATTACTCCACGTTCGTGTGTGTAGCCTATAAATAGCGAAGTTTTTGATGGAACCAGCTAACAAATGAGAGGAGAAGGCGTAATTTTGCGCAGGGAGCCCCCCTTTCTCTTTGGAAGATTAAACCCCCCCAGGCAGTTGCTAGGGCTGAAAATTGAGGGTGTATTGTAGCAAAGGAATTGGGTATGGTGGTGATTATGCATGTGTTTATTGAGGGTTGTTAGGGTACTGTCGTGCTTTCTCGAGACATGCGCGCGGGCGCGCGCACGCACACAAACCACATTTGCTTGAGACTGACCAGGGTTAGAATCACTAACTGCACTTCAAAAGTTCTTAATGATAAAGGGATGGGGCTGAGAAGAGTGAGGTGAGGCACAAAAAGGGTTGTTTAGGGAATGTGGCGGAACCAAGACTGAGAGATTCTGGGACAGCTGAGTGACGGGTCTTTTAAATCAGCCCGTTCCTTTAATTCTGCTGAGGAACCTATTAAGCCCAGAGGATGCAATATTATTGCAAAGCACTTCGCAAACTAAAATATATCTTTTATACAAAAATAATTTCCCTCCTACTTTTTTTTTTTAAGCGTCGGACACAGATCACTCTTTGTCCTTCTTATTACAGAAAGATCCCCATCTCCTGAACTTGGGGGCATTTCGCTGACCAGTAACTTGGCACCATATAAACTTTTGGAACACACAAGCGTAGCGTTTGTCTATTCAGGCTAGTCTCACCATTGTTATTAGGTACTATTTGGTGGAATTGCCCTAACGTCTTCTGAGGATGGGACTCCTACTGTCTTTCTTCTCCTTCATTTACGTTAATAGATTCTGAAGTATTGGCGTTTTCGCGGGGGGGGGGGACTTCCCCCTCATCAAGGCGGCCCGTGGCTCACCTCTGGGGGCCATTGATTTCCGAGAGCTGGAGGGACTGGCTCCCTGTCAGCGGCGGAGCTGCCGCTGCTAAGGATCCTGAGCCCTGCAGCTCCGAGAGGGGTTTCCTCCCCGTGACAGGTAGCTGTCAGAGCTGCCCGGGTAGGAAGTGCTGACCTGTCTAAAGAAATGCATCTGCGTCTCTGAGAATTTTCCGGACAGATGTTGCCAGTTCACTCCGCGGAGGCTTCCATCAATTTGCGCACACTGAGTGGAGTTGATGACTGTTTGGGTTTGGCAGCGGCGGGGAGTTGTGTGTGTGCGTGGATGTGTGTGTGATGCCATCAGACATCCTGTGGCACCGACTCTCTGGGAAATGTCCGCTCCTATACAACAGGGCTTCTCAAGCTCCCTCGCAGCCAGGCTGTGCCCCACAAAAACTAACGCTGGAAAGTCATGGGGAAAGATGACTTTGAGTTCGTTCCCCTTTGGGCTTTTCTCAGCTTGGCTCCTTTTAAAAATCATACTTGTTTATCTTCCTGCTTATTCTAGATTCTCCTTTTTCTTTCTTGGTTAATGCCGTCACACACACACTCCATCCTTTTAAGTTCTTGTGGTTTTGTCATTTCTCGCTCCCAGAGCTTTGCCCCTCTGTTTGACTTCCCTGAATTTGAGGAGTTTGCTTCTGCATCTCCAAAGCAGGGTAGCCTATTCCCAGCTGTCCCCATCACTCCTGGCTTTTGCAGGCAACGCGTGTTTTCCTCTGCCTGTACAGCAGTGGCGCACTGAGTGTCCAAACCTAGGACACATCCCCTGCTCCGGGGACCTTTGACATCCCTTCCAAACGCTGCCGCTTCCTGCTGCGCACAATGGATACACGCAGTGCTTATCTTCACAATGGCCACTGTGCGGATATGATCAAAAGGTAGAGAAGAGATTGCTTTCAATCTCTAGCGTGTGTATATTAATTTAATGTGCATCATATATACCGATTCTGGATAATAAACTGTATGCCATAAACACACATGCTAAGAAGCGATGATTATGTCTTTCAGATGTTCGTGCACTGAGCGCTTTTTGCTTGGGAATGAAGTCTGTCACCCCGCTGCTCTTCCGTGCAAAAGGGTTCAGGAAGCAGGCTGGAGAGAGCCGTCCGCAGTCCCCTGCTGCTCCCCTCTGTGCTGGGCTGGGGATATTAAATCGTTACTTCTGGCAGGCTCCGAGATGCTCTCAAGTGGTTTTTAGTCTGGCGCTCTGGTCTATCCATATACATTTCCAATCTCATGGCTCATAAACTATTAGCAAAAGGATTTCATTATTCACCTTCTGTATCCTACAAAAGACAGAGGGGTAAAATATATTCCTGGTAACAATGAGAACTGAGCTAGGTTTAAATCATGCCGAGCTGGAGAGCGAAGCCTCCGCAGTTTCAGGGTCCGTGTAAGCCTTCCCCTCTGTAGGTATGCCCATCTATCTAGCAATCTAGCTTTTCGGATGAAATTGTGTCACTTTCCTCTTTTCTTTTTCCCCTTCCTTTTCCTTTTTTTTTTTTTGCACACGGTTGTGCACATTTGCTTTGCGCAGAGGCAATTGTTCAGGAGAGATCAAGTGGCGGGGAGAGAGGGAACCTTTTCTTGAAGCAGGGGGTCGAAGAGGAGCGTTTCACATTGTGCATGAAACGGGAGGGGGAGAATTCCAAAATAATCATTAGCAAAGCTGAATAAGGAATCGCAGAGCAAGCCCAAGCAGGTGCCAGGTGTGTCAAGAACGTGTGGAAGTTACTTTGCTCCTCGCAAGAATCTGATCGACCCAGCAAGCGCCCGAACACAAAGGCAAGTGTGGCTGCTGCTGTGGCTCCAGACAACTGATGGGATGGTTTTCCAGGGAGCCCAGAGAAGGAGCCCTCGGGGCAGAGAGAGGGTCACCAACGCAATTTCGAGAGACTTCAAAGCTACCCGCCGATTTGCATTCGGATTGAAACATCACCAGGAAGCCATCGGGTTGCCTGTGCCCCCTAAAAGTGAGAAGAGAAGAGTTGGGTTATGCAAACTTGCAAACACTATGAAATGCTGTGGGAACACATGGAGGGCAGTGGGATGGGGGGCAGAGCAGGGCAACCAGAAAGCTCAGCCCAGAGGACATCCAGGGCTAGATTTCAGCTAGCACAGTCCACTTGGTCTCCTTTTATTCTTGAAATGGTCACTCGCCTAGCAAATGTATAAATAGAAGGCTCAAATATGTGTGTGCCCCCAAAGCGCGCGCGCGCAGACAAGCGCGCGCACAGGCCCCTCGAAGTGCATCACCTCATCAAGAAAGAAGAATAATTCCCAGAAAATAAAAGAGAGGCACCCCGCGCAATGAGCCTCCTTTCCTTCTTCTCCTTGCTTCCCAATGGGCTGCAGCCACATTCACACTGACACAGGAAAAAGCAGTTGGGGAGGTTTAAAATCAGAAAAGGCAGCGGGAGAAAAGAGGCACCACCAACACTTAGCAATTTGGGCAGCGCACGCAACAAAAAAATTATTTGAGCGAAGTCTCAGGTCATTTTCAAGAAACAGGCCAATGTTCTCTGGCTGCTTAATATACATGGTGTGGGAAATGGCAGGAAAACCCACAGCGAAGGGCTAGAGCCATAAAGAAAGGAATCCAAATTACCACTTAATGTCCATATGTATTTGGGGGCCAAGGTGGGTAATGAAATAAGGTACACTTCAAAGATAAGGTTTTAAACTTTATATAATGACCTCCTTTTTTTGCATCTCAAGTCATTTAAAAGGAGTGGGGGAGGGTGTTAATAGAGACTTGCATGATGCAGTGGTTTTAAATACATATATATATTATTTACAGGTACTAAATAACTGTGTGGGCTGAGTAATTAAGCACCGTGAGGGAAAGCAGCAAAGTGACTGACCTTGGGTGACTTTTTAATATAATTAAGACCTCAACCTGAGAAATATCTGATATATATATATATATATATATATATATATATATATATATATATATATATATTGCACACACGCATACCGTATACACACACACACACACACACACACACACACCTGCTACACCTCTTTTGGAGCACGACTATATTAACTGAAAGGGGTTGGTATGTGGTACACTCAACACTCTTTCCTACGACAGTTATTGAAAAGGGTTTTGTTTTGTTTTGCCCTGTTTCACTCACCACATTGATCAAAAGTGGATTAAAAAGATCAGATCACATGAAAAGGTATCTGTTCTGATCGCTCTGAAAATGCTAAACTGTTTCTGTGTTAGAGATAAGCCGTGGTGGCGTTACTTGCTGACACAAAGGTCGGCAAGGGTTACCTCAGAAGTTTTAACGGCCTCGGAGCTAACATTTCCCGCCACTTTTTCGCGCCAAAACAGCAAACAGACGGGGCTGAAGAGAAAGACTTTGGGTTGCCCGCCCAGCGACAGCAAAGCAAGGCGGGGCAAAGCCAGTGGATGCGGCTGTCCTTTGCAGCAGCCTCTTGTTTTGCCAAGAGTTGGTTCCCCTCCGTGAGGGAAAGCAGCAGAAAGTAGATTTAGGAGTTTGTTGATCAGTTCATAGGCAGCACACAGTCACCCACCACCTTTCCCCCAGGAAATATTTCCTCACCTCTCCCTTCCAACATCCTTCTTATGGTTTCATAGTCCCATAAGAGGAGGAAGGGATGGGGGAGAAAGATCTCACCTCCAACCCCATCTGAAAAACAAAAATGCTTATTTACTTCTGTCCACTCAGGTTTCTTTTGTTGAGCAAAGGCAAAATTATCTCATGTACTACAGCTCTCCCTTGTGCTCCTAGACTGAGTTTTTATTGCTCATACCTACCCTTTAAGCAGCTGGAGTGCATTCCACACCACAACTAGCCACCCCTGTGTATAACTCAGGAGTTAAAGAGTAACTCCTGCTGGAGGTAATAAGTAATAAAGGGCTTCTGTAACAGTGTGTATGTGTGATGTGCTCCCTTTCTTCTCCCTACCACCCAGCAAAAAGTAAGAGTTTCGGATGAGAACCTGAGAGGCCAGGGTTCAAATCCTTGCTTGGGCATGAAGCTTGCTGGGCGACCTTGGGCCAGTCACTCATTCTCAGCCTAGCTCACCTCACAGGGTTGTTGTGAGGATACAGTGGGGTAGGTCTGATCCAGCAGGGTTCTTTATACAGCCTTATGTAAATATGGGCTGTACATTTCAACTACCATTCTGGTCTTTTTAAAATTTATTTTTCGTCTTTCTTATTCTTATGCAGAAATGAAGTAGTTTCTCTCCTCCTCCCAGTTTGCATTGGTGAGTTGCATGCCAATATAAAAAGTCCCAAAGCAAAAACAGCCCTTGCAAGCAGTTTTATTCTGCTGATTTAAAATGTAAGTTTTATTATAATACAACACACTCTGAAACAAAGTAGAAGGGTTCCATCTTTGCACTGCATAATGCTTTGTTCAGGAAATCTCCAGGATTTTCCTAACATCCCAGGTTTTAGGGGCACGGAGTTACACAAGATCATAAATTAATCTGCCACCGAAGCAGAGCACACACCTGATATCCAGGAAGGCACAAGGGCTGGCTAGCTCCAGCTGATCCCACATTTGATTTACTCTGGGTTATTAAGATGTATTTTGAAATGTTTTGATAAGAAAATAGGAGTCAGCAGTTTGATTTGGAAAGCCTTTTGTTGCTGAAAACGGCTGCACTTTTAAAAGCCAAGGCATTTGTTGTTATTGTGGATGTTTCCATGATCCACCCTCTGCTGCACTGTTGTAGCTCATCAATTATTGTCAGTAGTTAGCTCTTCCTGGAGACAGTTGTGTGAAGTTCTTTAGACAGCCTGTCCACTCCAGGCCTTTAGCACCTGCAGTTGTGCCAGTCCAGGAAATTCATCTTTGGCAAAGGATTTTGAAACAACTATAAAGTCAGCAGCTCTGATTAAACTAGTCACCTAGGAGAAGCATCTGTCTTCAGCAGAGTCCTGGAGTCCTGCTGCACAGCAAACCTCCTGTTAGATCAGGGCCCTGCCATTCTTACTATGTAAGG